TTATATTCAGACTTTCTGTTGTTACAACTCATCTTAGTTAATGTTATGGATAGCCAGACAGTCACAGATTTTTATGGAAAACATAGTTCTGCCTGTCATTCTGGAAATTTCACCTTTGACTGATATTTTTAAAATTGTCATATTTCTTTTTATATGTCACATGTTACTTTCTTTTGCAAATGCAATAAAGTCTTGTCTTAATTCTTTCCACTCTAAGTTGCCAGACTCCTTCAAAAAATACCCTCTTATTAATATTAATAAATTATATTGCTCTGAAAAGGCTTTAGGAAATTATAAGAAAAGAGCAGACGATGCTAAGATAAAGAGGTGGCTACCGCACGTGCGTTCTCCTAACGTGGGTGCCCAATACGAAACACCACCAGCGTGATTTCCCCAAGCGGTGGCATTTCTGGTGTCACTGAACACGGCGAGAACTGAGACGCAGGCATGTAAAAATGGCCTGTGCAGGTCTAAGACGCAATCACCGCCTTTTGTCTCTCTCGTTTACAACTGAAAATTACGGGCCAGTTTTTGATATTTCCCTCATTGTTCTTCAAGTACCTTCAAGTTAACTTCTGCAGCTGCGAATGGGAACCGAAGCCACCTGACATAACAGCGGTGGTGTGAAAAAGGATTAATGGCTGGGACATGCCAGGCAGTAACTGACAAAATCAAAAATCTGCCAGGATGAAATGTAATCTCATTTTAGGAAATGTTGAAATCATTTCTGTAGAAGGTTAAAAAAATAATAATCAGGCTGAGTCAGATACACAGCATGGAAAATTTCATCCCAAATGTTTATAGTTTAGCAATTGAAAGCAGGGCCTTATAATGCAGCGCTGGGTAAACTGAACTATCTGCAAAAATTCCAGTTCCACTTATAATAACAGTAACAGAATCAAAGCTGTGCACATTAAAAACAAATACCACAGCAGTGTTCATAGAGAGACAAGCGGTATCACGGCATTAAAAATAATATTAAAAATTGGCAGGTATATGGAGTATCCTAGGAACGCAGGATGTTTTCCAGACAGTTATTTATCACGTCTCACGATACCCGTGTGAAATACACAGCGTCCTTTTGTTCAGGCAGGGAGAGGGAAAGGCGGCCGCGCGCGCGCGGGTGTCGAGCGCCGGCGGGCC